GTGCTCACTGTCTTCTCCATGAGAAGACAATGGCCGGTTAAAAAAAAAAAAAAAAAAAAAAAAAAAAAAAAAAAAAGAAGCCCGATTGGCATATATACTACCTAGAAATCCTGTTGTAGCCCAACATACCATAAGCATGATCCCTCCCCCTCTCAATACTTGATAAGAGACATTGCACCTATGTTTCCTTCCTTATAATTTTTTGGCACAAAATTAGTCGCCCCATTTGTTTTCCGAAATAGGCCATCAATTCAAAAACACAAAAAGGGAGAAGGTGGTCTTTGGTCGGTAGTTTTTAAAAAGGATGATCGGGATCTTCCTAAGGTGAATGAAAGGTATGCATGAAAAGAAATAAGGGAAATAAATATAAGGAAAACAAAATATAAAAGATAAAGATAAAGTTAAAACATAAGTGGTTTTTCGGTTTAGGATTTTGAAAAAAAAAAAAACGAGAGAGAAAAAAAGATCGAACCGGAGGTTTTAAGGAGAGAAAATGAAAAAAAGAGAGATGGAGTTTCTAGGGAAAGATTTCTTCTTAGTTTTTGGCTAGTAATAAAAAAGAGGAAGAGATTTTCTTGGTTTTGAAGTTCTCTAAGTTTTTGGTTTTGGATTTTATAGAGGTAAAGAAAAAAAAATATTGTTATTTTTTTCTCTTCTCTCGAGATTTGACAACCTTTTCTTCTTTACGAGTGGGAAAGGAAGAAGAGTTCATCCTTAAAATTTTTTCTTTGTTAAATCATCAAATTCGCCCATTGGAGCTTCAAGAGGCAAAAAATATCTTCCATGGCTTTCTTTTCTTTCTCATAGTAAAAGCCATCCTAGGTTTTTTTTTTTTTTTTTATCAAACAAAGGTGGTACCCCGATAATTTATTAATACATGTATAAAATACAAAGGGGGACAAATCCAGCCTTACCCAACAAAACTAAAGGAACAAGGAAGCTTAAAACCTAAAAGAAAAATAAGTTACTTCTTGAAGTTATATAGACCTAATCTATCATGTCTACAAGCTATTTTAAAAGACAGAGGTAACTCATCATAAACAGTAAAAATACATTAGTCTTCATGATGATAAGCCTCATTTGTCGGTTTGTCGCCTACCATGTTTTGTTCCCTCTAGACATAAGACATAGTATGATTACCCATTAATTTTTTACACTCTCTAAAAAGATGGATATAAAACCAAGGGACTAAATATACTCCTAAAATGTTGTCGGTAACCATTAAGAAATTTGATTCGATCAAGACCAAATCTAATAAAAGATCTTTACATAAGATTAAAGCATCATGAATCGCAAGAATCTCGGCCTTTGTATTAGTATCCTCTCCATAATGTTTATTAAAGCCAACAATAATGGCATATGTAGTATCTCTAATCACTCCTCCACTCGCATCTCCCATCCATAGTCAAGCCATCAATATTCAGTTTAAATCGACCGTGATTTAAAGGCTTCCATTTCAATGATTTCCCACGTAAGCTCTTAGTAGGAGCCAACAAAATATGGAGCTTCTATAATTTCTACGGAACAACATTATTTGTAGGTTTTTTTAGCTTATTCAAACTGCACATGTCTAAAAGATCTTTAATAACTTTCCCGATAACATCATCCATTGACATAGGAATATCATCATATTTGGCCTCGCAATGGCTTTTGGAAATTTCCTAAAGAACAAAATGAAAAGTTCCAACTCGATATGTACCTGCTTGTATCAAAATTAATCCAAATGAAGACTACGCACAAGTATCTAAAGAAAAAAAAAAAAAAAACTATGAATGCCAAAGATTTTTCCAAAATAATCCCACACTAATGTAGCAACCCGAGACTTAATAAATAGATGTTCCATTATTTCGTCACCATGGTTTTGCTAGTAATGAAAAACCGAAACCAAAAGGATACAAAAATCCTTGATTCTTGAGTCCACTAGGGATCACACTTGCTAAATAACTTCCAAATTATAACACTCACACTTGGCAAAATATAAGGACCATATCTTTGTAGCCAATGAACATACGAGAAAAGGAGCTACGGTAATGATTCTAGTAAGCTTTTATTTTTAAAAACACCTTTATTTCGAGAGTAAAAACATGATTTTCATCAATATCATCATCAAAACATATATTTTTTACCTCATCTTGGATGTTTCTCGAGATAAAATGAAGAAAATCATTCGAGTCATTGAAAGCATCCACGACTATCAAATGGTTACGAATTGGTAAAAAGGGATTCAAAATTCTAGCATACCAATTAGTACTCCAAAACAAAATTGTGCCCCTACCAATAATCTACCTACTAAAAGACTAGAGAGTAGGAATATGATGCATAATAGCTTTCAAACTATGTGAAGAAAAGGTGAGCACAATACCTAAATCTTCATATTTAACAATTAAGAACTTGGCCTAAAGACTCGAGCCATGTATGTGAGACCAAGCCAACTTGGCTTAAGGAGCTTCCATGACCTATTCCAACCTTTGAATACCCAAGCCTCCTTTTTTCAATAGTTTACAAATCCGAACCCATGAAATCCAATGATGCTCGTTCTCTCTAGTGGAACTCTAAAGGAAATTTGACATAATCCTCTCAATTCTCCGAATAATGACTTTAGGTACAAGAATTTCCGCCATCACATGAATTGGAGTGCTACTAATAATAATCTTTAAAAGAGTAATATAAGCCCCAAAAGACAAAAGTGTAGTCTTAACCACTTGTTATTTTTCATTTCGAGAGAGTGAAAGTAGAGTCTATGAATCCGACCAACGAATAAAGGAACTCTTAAATACTATAGAGGGAATTAAAAATGCCCACATCATGTCCATTGCTTGATGGTAGTAATTTGTTAAGTCGACATATGTTTTGAAGAGTAAAAGCCACTCTTAGCCATATTCAAAAGTCGCCCGAGTACTCTTCATACCTTGTAATTAAACCTCACAAGTGTAATAAAGATCAATTCGAACCATTTGTAAATAGAAGCATGTCATATGTATAAAACAAGTACCCATCATAATTTGTTTATTTAAATTTATTAACATAATCTATTGTACTAAGATAAACAAAAGAGGAGATAGAGGATCTCCTTGCCTAAATCCTCAGTTGGACTTAAAATACTAAAGTTCTAACCCAATAATTGGATCGTGTACCAAATATTGCTTATACATCTATATACCAAATCACACCATATATAATTAAAACCCATTTTTTCTTATTACCATAAGCAAAAAAGGCCATTTAACTCTACCATAAGCCCTTGACATGTCTAGAGCACTAGAAGCATTCAACCCCACAACTCCATCCTAACTTCCTTCTCTGTAGGAATACCTTTTAACTGATCATCAGTACTATGCATGATGTCATTTTGGATACCTGAAAAGAGATCCTCATGACCTACTATACACCCAGCTATGAACAAAGTTTCAAGATATTTAGCCACTACAGCGCCAATTGAAGAGATATCCTCCATAAAAGTTCCATCATTCTGACATATTCTAAAAAATATCTTCTTTGGATTTTCCTTAATAAATACATGGAAATATGTTAAATATCTTATATTTCTATCCCTGTTTGACACCCACTTGGCTCTAGCTTACTATCGTAACATATTTGCTTCCTATCTTACCAACCGATCTAAATCTGATTTTTTCTCCTTTAAATGAGTAGCCGTAAGATCATTCCAACCCTGAATCAAATCTGAATCCAACTAAATAATTACTTCCTGTAAACCTTCCATTCTCCTTCTAATGTTCCCAAAAACCTCTCAATTCCACACCTTTAATTTGCTTCTTGGATGTTTAATTTTCTGATGTAAAATCTTCATAGGTTGCCCTTTAACCCTAATACCTTCATTTTTTTCTGACGAAATCATTGAGATTATCATGTTCTAACCATATTACTTGAAATTGAAACATGGAGTTCTAGGTTGATGGAGCCGAATGAGCAATAGACAATGGTCAGAGCATGTACAGGTCAGATGTTGAACAATCAAATGTGGGCATGTCGATAAATAAGGCCCATTAGCATACAATCTATCTAGTCTATGCCAAATTCTCAACCAACCTTCTTGGTTATTACACCCCAAGTATACTTGCTATCATGATATCTCATGTCCGCCATACCAGTTCTATTACAATAATCATTAAATTCTGCCATCCCATGGAAATCAAAACCTCTACCTCTAATTTTTTCATCCATGGCAGAAATAACATTAAAGTACCCTCCCATAATTCAAGAGTCTTGGTTAACTGAAGACAAACAGTCTAATTCTACCCGTAAATCCTGATGCCCTTTCCTAGTACAACTTGCATATATAATAGAGACTCTAAGATTCATAAATGACTTCCTGCAATGGCTACTATAATAACTTGCATGTGTAATGGCTCACACATCATAGTTATATTCTCGTTCTAAAACAACTATATGTGAGTATTAATCAGGTTATTATGCATGCTAAATTTATATTTAAATGATTTAGCTATTCCATCTATTCTATCCCCATCTATCTTTGGGTCAATAATAGACAAAAAACTTAGGATCATGTTGTTTCTTTAGTACTCTAATATAGTTAATTGTATCAGAATTCCCTATATCTCTTAGATTCTAAATAATAACTGACATTATATATCTGAATGAAAGGAAGTACCTAGTGCCTTGTAAGTTGAACGTGCTTTCTTTATGAATTCAAATTGTTGATGTTTTTTATTTTTCATCATTTTCTAAAACTTTTTATGAACCTTCTTGACATGATTCATATCCCCATTCTAAAAGTCCAAGCTTCCCAGCGATTGTCTTTTAAAATTTGTTAGTTTCCTCTCTCTTTCCTCTTTAGACATAAATCCTTTCCATGCCATGAATTTTTTTGTGTCAAGGAAACTCTTCTCAAAAATTATTTCTAGAGCCACAAGTTGATTTTCCCTAAGAAGAATATCTGCCTCGTTTTCCTTCATAGTCATGCTACTAGAATTATTACTGATCTGCTTCACCGTGCTTAACCCTCATATATCCTTACTAATCTAAACATTCGTTGTTAACATACCTATTTCAGCAGCATCATACACGATAGTTTCCACACAATCTGCCCTATGATCTATTTCCATTTCAGTAGGTTCTTTAATGAAATCTGAAGCTGCAAAAGGGTTTATATCCAAAGGAATGTCTATATCTTTTTCATTCAAAGACTCCTCAAATTCTTGGTACCTCTACACGCTACCTACTATATCCTTATTGACTCGTCGAGAATGAGGCGGATTAGTAGAGGTGGTCTGAACATCCAACATTACCATTATAGTGTTAGCAGCAGGAATAACGCTAATATCTAGAACTTCTTTCGCTTGGTAAGATCCCATCTCTACTATGCCTACATTGGTAACAGTAGGCTCCTTAGTTTGATTACTCCCTTCCCTAATCTCTACTGCCTTTTGAGTCATTCTAGTCTTTGAACTTATTCCCTTGCACGTATCGGTAAAATTTCTACTCCTATCAGATTTCTTTTGTACCAAACCCAGACTTCTTTCTCTTTATTCAAAATATTAGTCTAATTCCCATTTTCTTCGTGCATTATGGCTTTCTGTTTCACCATGTCATTCTGCGTTCCCCTTGTTTTCTTTCGATAAATGTCATCCAAGTGTCCAATCAACCCACAGCTTATGCAGTACAACAAGTTTCCTTCATAATCAATCCTCTACCAAAACCCATGCTCCTTGGAAGTGCCCACCCAGATGCAGTTAAGCAAAGGTTTTAAAACATCAACCTCCAAACATATTCTTGCAAACATAGGGTGAGTTAATGCCAATATTCTTTCATCTGAATGTATGAACTGTTGGATTCCCTCTCCTATGCGTTTCAGATATGATGGAGTAAAAACAAAATAGGGAGATGATTAAGGCACAAACCGAGACTAGAGGGCTATCCTTAATTACAAAACTAAAAATCCAGATTCCATCTAAACATTCTATAAATCTAATACTGCATCTTGTGATCTTCACGTGATAATACGAGGATCAAGTCTTTTTCTATCTCTAATAGTACCATCGCATGGTGTGGATCTAGAAGACCTATGATTGGTTCTCCCTTCAGATTCCATTGACGTTGGTATGAGATTGGATTTCATTGATAATTGGTCTACCTCTAGAAAATTTCAGCACCAGTGTGTTGTGGAATTATTGTGCTGTTGTCTGTAGTTCTACCGAGGAAAAGATGCATGCTGGTTCTGAGTTGATGATGGTTGGCTATCTCGGTGCAAGGGGGATATCTCTAAGAGGATGTGGTTTTTGTGTTTTAAGGTTTGCTACGGGTATGGTAATTTGTGTTAACGCCTTCACAGAGGAGAGGGTATGCACTGGATCTAGTTTGTTTTTTCCACGTTCAAACACAATTTTTTCTGGTACTGGCATTGAAATCGGATTGGGTAATTTGGCATTCCCATCTGTCGTTTGATTCATATGGTTAACCAAAGGAGTATGATTTCCAACAGGAAAAAAAAAAAAAAGATGGAGTTTTTCAGACAAAAATCTTCCAAAGTTTTACCTATACTACTAATCTATCTTATAATTTTATATTTTTTAATAAAAAACCTCGAGTTACATTTCATAGATGGAAAAAAAAATACATTATAATAAAAACTCATCATAGGCTTAAAGGATTGGGTGGAGAATAATTTTAGGAGAACAATTTTAGCTCAAATTTCTTAAGGTGCTGTTTGATAATCGGGAATAGAGTGATAGGATTAGGAATGCGGGAATCGGAATGAAAATTAAGGAATCGGAATGGTATTTGTATTCCAATACTGCGTTTGGAATACTAATAAGGAATCGGAATGCAATTTAAATTTTTTAATATCCGATTTTTTATATAAATAAAAATAATGATTAAAAAAATAATTTTATTAAACTATATAGTTTTAAAAATAATAAAGGCGATTGTGGTTATGATAGTGGTGGTTCTAATGGTGGTGATAGTGGCAATAATAATTGCGGGAGTGGTAGTGGTAATGGTGGTTATGATTGTGATTGTGATGATGATAGTGGTGTTGATGGTTATGATGATGATAGTGGTGTTGATGGTTATGATGATGCTATTAGTGGTGGTAGTTGTGATAGTGGTAGTGATAGTGGTGGTAATAACGGTGATGGTTGTTGTGATGGTAGTGATGAAGATGATGGTGGTGGTGGTTGTAGTTATTGTAATGGTGGTGATGGTGGTAAAAGTAGTTAATAAATAATAAATAAATAAAATATATTATTATTTTGAAAAAAAATTCATTCTCATTCCTTTTTTTATTCCTACATATTATGTGGGAATGAAGTTGTGTGTAAATTTTCATTCTCATTCCCACTCTTCATTCTCATTCTCACTTCATTCTTTTTAACGAAACAGACTACAATATGGGAATAAAAGTTTCATTCTCATTCCCATCACTTTATTCCCGATTACCAAACAACACCTACGTATACGAGGAATGAGGATTCACTTTTTCAAAACTAAAAACCAGAAAAATCTCAAATAAGAGTAGGGGACATTTATTTAAATTTTTTTTCGGTTGCTAGAAGGCATGAACAAAAGCTTCATTTCCTTTTAAATCCGGAGGGAAAAATGGTTTGGTTTTTTAAAATTAAAGTCCTCACAATTATAGGAACTTTTCATTTTGGTAATTTAGAACAAGGTCTTCTTGTAATTGGGTCCCTAATGTGGGTGGACTTAGGGTTGAAATTGATAGGGTTTTAATCCTAGGTTTAGTTTTGGTTTTTATTCATTTTGACAAGATTGCTTTGATTATTTTGATCTAAATATTTTAGAGTTTCTATATATGTTTGTCCTTATTTTGAGTTTTAAATATTATAATTTTAAAAGTCTATTTTCTATTTATTTATTATTCTATTTTTATTTTAATTATACATTAGTGTGGTTTGTTTCAAAAATTTAATTATTTGATCAAGTGTTCAATTTCGTTTTAACATGAAATTTTTAGAGTTTATACCTATGTTTGCCCTTATCTTGTGTTTTAAATCTTATAATTTTAGGATTTTATTTTCTATTTAATTGCTATTTATTTATTATTTTATCATTATTTTAATTACTAATGATGGTCGTTTTGAAAAATTAATTATTTTTTCTAGTGTCCAATCTCATTTTAATTTAAAAATTTTAGGGTTCATACATATGCTTATAGTTAGTTTATATCTTAAATCTCATAATTTTATAATTCCATCGGCTATTTATCTTTAGTTTATTTATTATTCTGTTGTTATTTTAATTATTAACATGGGCTATTTTGAAATTTAATTATTTAGTTCAGTTTCGAATGTAGTTTAGTCCGAAGTTTTCAAGGTTTGATATATACTTATTCTTACCATGTTTTTTAAATTTCATAACTTACGGAATCTCTTTCGTCGTTATTTTTTAAATTTATTTATAATTTTGCTGATTATTTTAATTACTATGGAGGTTTTTTTTTTTTTTGGAATTTAATTATTTAGCTCGGTTTCGATTTCATTTTAATCTGAAAATTTTAGGAGATATGTACATATATATTCATAAGTTTTATATGGATTTATGTTGAATTTTGATTTTGTTTGTTGTTTATTTCATTATTTTTTGTTATATCTTGTTTATAATTCAATATGCTTATTTATTTAAGCTTAAATTCATTTAGCTAGATGTTAGATCGTCGAATCTCCTACATTCTAGGAATGATGATGATCTCATATCAAATTTAATTTATAATTTGAAAAGAATATGTCTTGTTTGGGTAATTATGAAATTTAAGTCGAGTTAACGAGTCTCAAGATTAAATAGGGATTGATGTTCGTGTCGACCCTCAATCAAAAAATTATCAAAAAAGAAATAAAGGAAAAGAATTGTCTAGGATGAATACAAATTGGTCTAAATACCTTTAGATAAATAGGTCATTCCTTGAAATGTCGGTCATACCGGGACGTAATTGGATCCGATATTAAATTGATGCGACTCCCAATCTTAGGGCATGACATCAATTTAATATAATGCCAAAATAAAAAATGAAAAAAATATAAATTTGACTTAGATGATAATTTGGTGCATAAGATTAGAGGCTAAATTATCCCACTAGTAATATAGAAAATCTAAGGACTTGAAAAGCCTTTAAGATTCCATAAACGTCACATAAACTATATTTAAGAAAGCTAGATTCTATTTATTGGAGTTGAACCCATGTATAACATGAACTCTTCTTCTTATTTTTTTGTCACCCATTTTAAGTTTTGTTTCGGAATGTTATCACCAAAACAAATCATGCTAGAAATAGTGAAACACACAACTAAGGATTTTAGAGCCGAGTTGGAGCAGAGTTAGTTTAAGAAGGGAGATTGTCAATCCTCGGGTTTTGATTCCAAGTTACCAAAGAAGATAGGTCTCACCGATAAGATAACTAATGTTAGTCCACTGCTTGACTATTAAGAGATGTTTTTCTCTCAAGATCGGACTGATTTTTGATAGTTATATGGAGATCGAGCTTAATTTCTTAGGGAGAAAACTCAAATCTCTTGCTTTTAGGCTATGCTAGGGAAGTAGGACCCTAAATGCCGTTGCTTTACCATTGAAAGTGGTAGATCTCTCCCCAATGCTTGAGAAATATAAGGCTCTACTCGGCATGCCCTAAATCAAACATTGTAAACTTTTATAGCCCACTAGAGTTAACACTCGTCAACTTTACATGGATAGCTGGACTTGATTCTAAATGAGACTAAACAAGTGACCAAGAAAAGTCAATGTCAAGGATGGTTCTAGATTCTATTTGAAACCAAAATTCAAAAGGCATCTAGGTGACAATGACGAGTGCTATCAAATTAAGGATTTTAGCATTAAGAATCTATAGGATCGTATGATAAACTATGAGGTAGTCAATGTGTTTAAAAGTATGGTATCATTTAAATTTAACCCTACGAGTAGTGATTTTGGTTGAAACCTTGTCTTCTTTGAACTTTTAAGGAAAAAAGGGTGAGGGATATTTGAGGTGTTATGTTCAACTATTATTTTTCTAGAATGTGAGTGATATGGTGAGTGAAAAAGGACGTGGAGTCTTTAGAGTACCATGAAACTTGTATAGACAATTAAAGAATTTTCCTAAGCACTATCTCAATGACCTAGGCAAGGTTACTTGGGTTAAGATATTTCTCAATTTAGAATAGTTTAAGTTTTATTATAGAGCATACTATGCATTCTTTCATTCATAGTCGACTTAATATGGTAGTTTTCCTTAGGTACTTTTGATTAAAGCCGGATGTTTCATTAGTTATTACTCGAATATTTTTCTACGATAATTAAAGTTTGAATAATTTATCCTAAGAACTACCAAACCGACTAAATTTTATACAAAGTTTAGAACCTCTAAGAAGTTTTTAGAGCAAGTCAAGAAAGCCTAGTGTTAGAGAGGTGTCATTACTACTCCAAA